GATTTGAGTTATTATGGACCTAATCATCCATGTCGGTATCAAATTTGCTATTGACTTAACATCTTTTAATTTGGATCCAAGCTATTATATCGTTCTCTCTCCATTTTGAATATATTTTCCTATCTTTCCCTATGAACTACAATCTCATTGAAGAAACTAATTTTGTCCTTCACGAATTCTATTTCTTGATGTTCTTCCTTCATTTTTTTTGTTCATATCTTTCAAGTTGGTAGATAACCAAAATATAATATACAAATCAAAAGGAAATACGATGAAAGAAAAATAATGGAAACATTGGTTAAGAAAGAATGAACCTTTTATAGATGAAGATCTTATTCAATACATATGGAGCAAACAACCATCAAATTTAATGTTCAAATGAACCACAATCAGAGGTAACGAGCAGAAACCTTTCGAACCGAACTCGACTTCGACCTCTTCGGGCTAGTATTTTGGGCTATCTTTTAAATTGAGTTTGAAGCTTTTGGATTTGATTTTTGGTGTGATTTAGCTCCTGTTTTTGAGGTATTTTTTTTTAAACAAGGTAATGAATGACTATATTTTTTTTTTTTGTTGAAAGAAATAGGTAGAAAGAATAAAACTAGTAGAAATTCTCTTTAGCATAGAAGAAGAAAATTTGTTTTCTCTCAATATTCTTCCCTCTTCTCTTCTCTTCTTTTCTTCAAATATTTCTCTTCTATTTATAGGAGAATTTTCAAAAAAATTCAGATATTTTTTTTTATTTTTTTATTTAAAAGAAATCCCACTTACATTTTGCTTTTCTTTTTTTATAAAAAGAATTACCACCTTTCTTTACTTTTATTTTTTAAATTCCAACTTTAATTACTTTTATCTTATTTAAAATCCCACTTTTTTTACTTTTTTAAAAGAGAATTCCACTTATTTTACTTTTCTTAAAAAAACAATCCACTTTCTTTTACTTTTCTTTAAAAAGTTCTACTTTATTTTAATTTAAATTTTTTTAAAATTTTCAGCTACCTTTATATTATTTTTTAATTCCAACTTTCTTTTACTTTTTATTTTTAAAAATTTCCACAAAATTTTACTTTTATTTTTTTAATTTTTCACTTTCTTTTACTTTTTATTTTTAAAAATTTCCACAAAATTTTACTTTTATTTTTTTAATTTTTCACTTTCTTTTACTTTTTTAAAAGAGAATTCTACCTACTTTTACTTTTTTTTTAAATTCCATAATTTCCTTTTTCTTATTTTTTAAATCTCTGCCAAAAATTTAAAAGAAAAAAATAATATTTTTCGGATTTTTTATTATTATTTAAAAATAAGAATAAAAATAAAATAATATTAATAGTAATAATTCACCTTCTAAAATTTTATATTTTTAACCTATAATAAAAAGTATAACAAAACTAAAAAATTGTATGTTAAAACCCCCTAAAAATATTTAAATAAAAGAAGTGATAAAAAAAATTAAATATTATCAAAAGTTAAGTGCTCGCATTATTTATCTAAAGAGATTACAACAATCCAAACAAGTTAGAAAATTCTTTGTTTTTTCACTCCCATAGAAGTTATCGAAACTTGCGAAAAGTAAACATTCTGGCCAAGAGCTGAAGCAGGATATAGTAAAAACTAAAAAGCAGATTAGCTCCAAAAATTTGCCACGCATTGGACACGTGCTCTCAAATTAAGTTAACCCCACTTGTTCATATTCCTTTCAAGCAAGAGCTGAAGCAGTACACAAGTAGGAGCCCGTTTGGATTGACTTAAAAAAAGTGGCTTTTACGCACATCTTTTAAGTGCTGGAACTTATTTTATAAATAAACAGTTACATATTTGGATAAAAGTGTTAAAGCTTAAAAAAAGATTTTGAAATGTTTGGCAAACAAGTGGTGGTATGCACTTTTTCTTATTAAAAAGACAAAAATATAAAAACTTTGGTATTATAAAATGAAGATGAAGAGGAAAGAAGAGGGTAATTTTGGTATTATAAAAACTTATAAGGGCAAGCGAGTAATTTTATTGGTCAAACTAAAATGGTTTTTAAGCCAAAATCAAAAAAGTTGGGGTCAGCCAACTTGTTGCTTTTGGCTTTTTTAAAGCACTTTTTAGCATTTTTAAACAACTTTTTTTGTTGCCAAACACTCCAAAAAATAAAAAAGGCAGAAAAATCCCTCTAAGTTTCCCAGAGAAAAAGGCAGATTCCATCAACAGCAAAATTTTCTTGCTTGGTAAGTTTAAAATTTTCTTCCCATTATTTTGTTATTTTATTTTGTGTTTTTTATAGTCAGAAAAATTAAGTCTTCTATCTTCTGTCTCATAATTTTTTTTTATTCCGTGTCCGGTACTTGTATTGGACACCGACTATATTTGGATTCGCGCCCCCTATTAGTTATTGTTTTCCTTGGATATGTACATGTGTATAAAGAAATATTCATTCTAGAAGCAAATAATTAGAGATAAGTATAATATGAAAATTAAAGCGTTAGACTAGTAATCTGAAATATGTAAGTTGATCCAAACACCATGAGATACAAAGAGTTCTTTCCTCACTTAAAATGGTGATGCCTTGGCTAGCTTTTGCTCCTTGACTATTTCTTGGGCACTTGTAATCTCTATCCATTACATTAATATTTAAGCAGATAGAAAAAAATCACCTAAATCTAGATTTGAACCTAGTCTGCTATGGTTTTAGGTCCATCTTCATTGACCGATTGGCTATACCCTTGTGTAAGGAACACATAAGAAAACATAACTAGATCTTCAACAATAACATTCCTGGTGGAATTCCACAAGTGGGTTCTGAGGAAGGTAGTGCGTACGCAGACCTTTTTCCTACCTCGAGAGGTAGAGAGGCTCTTTCCCAACGGCGGATTCAGGATTTTTATGTAATGAGTGCTCGACAACAACAATATACCCAGTGAAATCCCACAAATGCGTCTGGGGAGGGTAATTTGTACGTAGACCTTACCGTAACTTTAGGGAGGTAGAGATACTATTTATAATAGACCCTTACTCATAGCTAGTAGTCGACTACTTTTAATTTTGGTATACACATAATATAAGTATATCTGATACGTGATATTTATCCAACCTTTGATGGATAGAGTTATCTCATTAACTATTGCAGAAGATACATATCTCATGAAATTAGTCAGGTGCGCACAAGAAGAAATATATATTTTTTTTAAAAAAGGGAAAAGATAACAAGAATAAAAGGAAATAAGGAAAAGCGCAAAAGAGAAAAAATAGAAAAAGGAGAGGATCTTCTAACAGTAAGAAATGGCTTCCTGGCCACTCAAACTTGCGGCCGATTTTAAAGTCGATTACGAACTTATGAGTTTCCCATTTGAACACTCAAACTCGTGAAACTCATAACTAATAAACACGTTTGACGGTTGACTCATCTCATGTAACATCAGTTGGTCCTAGTAAGCTCTGTGCGTGAGTCTCACTGACTTTTAGGAGAGTGAGAGCCCCTTTCCCAACTCCAGCAAAACCAAATCAGTAAAACCACCCCCTCCAAGCAAATCTACACCATGCCTTTTCTTATCAAATCCTTCCATGGCTGGAAGCATAAATGCCGCTGCATACTGGGGAAACTTATTCTGGGACCATTCAAGGTGATACTCCCATGGGTCGTCTCCAAGGAGAAGGATATCATTCTCCCTGTCGACAAATACAAGCTGACAGCCTGATCTTTGAGGATCTTCAAGGAACCCCTCAATCCCGAACATCTGACCCGATTCCCGTCGTAGCTCATGATAGCTGTGGAACTGGGTGATATCCAATGACCTCCCAACACACCCCTAATTTGTATTACTAGATATCAAACTATTTTACGGCGACGATTGGTGGCTGTGAAAGGACAACCGACGAGAGAAAGTGATTTCTTAACCTAACTAGAACTCAATCAATGGGGGTTTATTTTCCCTTGAATGTAATGACAGAGGCTGCATAAATGCCGCTGCATCAATGGGGGTTTACTTAGAACTCAATCAATGGGGGTTTATTTTCCCGCCTCTGACGTGTAACATTACGATCGGGTCAGTGCTGACTGGATGGACACGTTAGCGAATGTGTAATACACGCGCGGATGGTCAAGGATAGAATGTGTTTATTAGTTATGAGTTTCACGAGTTTAAGTGTTTAAATGAGAAAGTCGAAAGTTCATATATCGGCTTTAAAATCGGCCGCAAGTTTGAGTGTCCAGGAAGTCATTTCGCCATAAAAATGTTTCAGTCAAGTTTTGATTGTCCCATTTAGAGAGCTAAGAGTGACCTTAAACCAAAGCACCCAACCCCAAGTTTTGCTCGTGGGTGCTCATTGTCATTATATAGCAAATTTTCAGAATTTCATATAAAATATACTGTTTCAGACTCTTAAACAATGGGTGCTTCAGCACCCACTCTATTGAACGTGGATCCGCCCATGCTCTTTCTAAAGACTCGAAGGACAAAATGAAAAGGAGCAGTAGAAATAAACAATAACAATACCGATATAGAAACAACAGTGATATAGTAAATTAAATGAAGCAAATCAAATAACAGGTAGGAATATAACTCTAGAAGAAAAAAAGAAATCTACAAGACTCATACTATTGCCGCTAGGATGACAAAGGAATACACCCAGTTACCCCCTAACCTTCTACCCTAATCCTCGGCCTCCACACCCTCCTAGTTAGGGTCATGTCGTTATTAAGCTGAAGTTGCGTCATGTCCTTCCTAATCACCCTGATACTTCTTAGGCCTACCTCTACCTCTCCTCATGCTCACCACAGCCAATCTCTCATAAGTAGATCTTCCTTCACCAAAAATCTTGAAGTCTTGGTAAGCTGATTTTTTTTTATAAATTGCTTTTAGGTGTGCCGAGAGTTACGTTACATTTCCTCCATTGGTAATTTAATACAATTCAACTCGATACTTAATAAATACTAAGGTAAGTATTAGGTTATTGGAAATCTAATAGTAGCTGATTTGCTGTTGAATCCAGCAAAAGTGTGAACAGCCGCTGAGCTGCTTTTAAGAGAGAAAATTACCCGATGTTGGTCAAATTTTTGAAGCTTATTAGCGGTAAAAGACAATGTGATTCTCATATGTGTTTTTTTGAATTTTCCTTTCCAATAACAAATTTGTATAATCCACTATATTCTTGAATTATTATTGGAAAGGTGTTGTTGCTCTAAAGAATGCAATTTATAGATATCAGGAGGAGATGGATGAGTGTCATTTGTGTACTATATGCAGATAATTTGAATGTTGCTTACCTTTGTGTTCTTGTTTATTTTCTGCAGATTCCTCTTGATGTTTATGATGCCACCTAGGACTACCGATCTACCTGAGAATGTTGTCAAAGCCATTCTGATGTGTTTGCCTTTGCAAGATGCGGTGAGGACGAGCATCTTATCAAAGAAATGGAGGTATAACTGGTGCAGACTTCCACAGTTGACACTTGATGATAAACTTTGGAAGACGACAGATAACTTTCCATCCTCTTCTATTAAGTTTGGATGCATTATGTACAACATTTTGACCCTTCATTTTGGACCAGTTACTAAGTTTACCCTCTCCATGTCTGAACTGAAAAAGTATCCTCAGATTGGCAGCTTGATATATTTCCTCTCTAGGAACGGTATTGAACATCTTGTTCTTCAATTTTCGGAGTGGAACCGATACAAATTGCCTCCATCATTTTTCACGTGTTTGCAGTTGAGGCATTTGACACTCCAAAATTGTTTAATATGTCCTCCACCAGCCTTCAAAGGATTTGGTATGTTAATTAGTCTGGAACTGTGTTATGTCTCAATTTCCTCTTAAGTCACTAGAAAGTTTAATCTCTTGTAGCCTGTTTCTTGAGAATTTAGTATTGAAAATCTCAGATACTGTAAACCACATTCAAATTAAAGCTCCCAATTTGAGATCCTTCGACTTCTCGGGCTGTATAAAACTTATTTCCTTAAACAATGTTCCTCTTCTTGCTAAGCTCTCTCTTTTGTATGGAGAATCTTTTGAGGAATCAGAAAAATGCGATCTTGACAAATGTTTTCAGTCACATCATGCCCTTGAGCATCTCCGCTTGGAATACGGGAGTGTCAAGTTAAGTGTTGCTTTAGAACTTTATTGTAATGCATTTTAATGGAATGTACCATCTTTTGGGATTTGAGTCATCTTGATTTTTTGTTTTATTTGTAGTTCTTGGTTGCTGAAGTACCAAGAAGGCTTTCCGTTTCTCTTAACCATCTTAAACGTCTTTGCGTATCTCTGGATGGACTAGACGATCTTTCATGTGCTCTTTGCTTGCTGCGAAGCTCCCCATATTTACAAGATCTTGAAGTGAAGGTTATTAATGAAGTTTATATTTCCCTTTTTCTTGTGCAACTGGTAAAGTAGTTGTCATGTGACCAAGAGGTCACTAGTTCGAGTCGTGGAAATAGCCTTTTGTATAAATGTAGGAGTTTTCTGAATATTAAGAGGGGATTCGAGAGAGAATAGGGGAATTTTCTGAATATTAAGAAAGATTTGAGGATTTTTCGGAACAGAAAAAAAAACATTCTGGAAATCTAAAGAGAGAGTAGTATACACCCGATATACAATCTGCATACACTGGATATACATAGGGGTCAAAATTTAAGGGTTAAACATTAACTGGTCTTTCAATCTAAAAAAGGTTCACTTTTTTTCTGCCCGTTGATTGTTGTTGGTGTTTCTAGATTTTTATTTGGTTTGTTCCTTGAGTTTGGTTGGTTATTTGCTACTACTTCACTGGTTATTGCTGGATTTTTTACTTGATTTTAAAATCTGTCACTGGTTTCTCGTTGCTGGTTGTTACTGGTTGCAGGGTGTTGCTGTTGTTGTATGCTACTGCATTTCTGCTGATCTTCCTCTTCTTTTGCTTCCAATATCAGGTACACAAATTGATACACTGGTTCTTGTAGAATGGAAACTGAAGCATAAATATGAAATGAAGAGTTGAAGTTCAGAATTTATCTTAGTTATATTCTGAATTTTAGTTGTATATGTACATTATTTAACTTCCTCTAATTAGAATCATGTAGTTGTTTGATATATATAATGGAACATCTGACAGTAGCTTAGTGGACGAATTGTCTATGTATGCTAGTTAAAAAGACTAATGGTGTAGTAGTGNTAACAACTCGTAAGCATGTAAATAAATTAGGACCTTTTCTCTTTCATTTTTAGAGACAAATTTATGTAGGCACTTTAGTATTATCCTTTTAAAATAAACGAGATGAGCCTCGCCCAATAAAACGCACAAGTTGCGGGGCCCTCAATAATTGGTTAATAATTGTATAGACTTCGGGATCGGTCGTTTAGCAAATTTCACGGCCTTACCCAAAAATAATGATACGCTAGTCGCTTTAGGCGCGCTTTTAACAATTTACTTTCTTAAACTCGGGTGCACATTTATGTGACCCAAATTCAAATCTCAACAGAGTCGAAATGTGTCGATAACCACGGGTACATTGATGTGACGTGGTTCGAGATACGTTTTTCACACTGTTGTAATTCTCTGTTAAAAGAATAATAATAA